GTTCTTTATCTTGACTTTGGTGATGGATCTATGAAACCACATATGTGATAAAATTGCACAACCAATCACAAATGACCAATGACAAAGCTAAGAAGAAGGGGGGGCTGAGGAGGTGACTCAGTGGTTAAGAGCACTGGCTGGTCTTCTAGAGGTCCCAGGTTCAGTTCCCAGCACCACACGATGGCTCACAACCACCTGTAACTCCAGCTTCAGGGGATCCAATGCCTTCTTCTGGCTTCCTAGGGCACCAGGCACAAATGTAATACACAGACAAACATGCAGATAAAACACTCATACACATAAAATAATCTGTTTATTTTAAAGACAATGACACTCAGTGTCTCTCTCTGGCCATCCCACGTGTGCACACACACCACACACACACACAAATAGGTGACTGCTGTGGTGTGTGTGTGTGTGTGTGTGTGTGTGTGTGTGTGTGTGTGTGCACATATATGTAAACTATAAGCAAGGTGTGGTGGCTCCTGTCTATAATCCCTCCAGAGGCTGAGGCAGGAGGATCAGGAGTTTAAGAATAGTTGGATAGTCATGGTTACATAGGGAATTTGAGACCCTTAATGCCATGTTAAACATCTCCATATGGATATATAGTGTGTGTTATGAGTCACATAAAACAAAGGCTTTCTTGGGATTTCCAGACCAGACCTCAAATGCCGTCCATCCCTTCCTCCTTTTCTGTAGATCACCAGCACTAGTGACTTTGAAACGATGACCCACAATATGCTGGTGAGAGGACACGCTTACTCAGTAACTGGCCTTGAGGATGTGAGTGCAGGCAAATGGTGTCCCTGGAGAGCCACAGTTATGTGAGGGCCACCACCCGCTCAGGTCCTGAACTTCCACGCCTCTCCCCCAGGTCTACTACAGAGACAAGGTAGAAACCCTGATCCGGGTCCAGAATCCCTGGGGCCGGATTGAGTGGAACGGAGCCTGGAGTGACAGGTAGATGCCCTGACCCAGGGGAGGGGAACAGAAGACACAGCAGGACCCACGTGGAAGCCAGTGTCACAGTGGGACCAGCCCTTGTCCCCATGCCGCTCCGTTTACCAAGCACTCTGGAGGTGGCCCTCAGAACGTCCCTTAGGGAGGAAGAGTGGCTGACTGCCCTTCCCTTCCGCTGTTTTCTCTCTGCAGAGCCAGGGAGTGGGAAGAGGTGAGTGTGGACGTCCAGCTACAGCTGCTACGAAAGAAGGAAGATGGGGAGTTCTGGTCAGTGAGGCTTGGGGGAGGGGGGCGGGGGTCCGACTCCCCATACACCTCCGTCACCTCCCGCACCATCCTCTCCACTGGACCGGGAATGGGGAGGTCCCTCCGCAGTCAGGGGCTGCAGGTGTGCCCGCGGACTGTGCCCACGGACAGCGCTGTCTGCTCTCCCACCCCAGGATGTCCTATGAAGACTTCATGAGCAACTTCACGCTCCTGGAGATCTGCAACCTCACCCCTGACGCACTGTCTCCCTTGGAGCACAAGAGCTGCTGGCACACGACGTTTTATGAGGGCAGCTGGCGGAAGGGAAGCACCGCGGGCGGCTGCCGGAACAACCCCGGTGGGTGTGGGCAACCTGTGGGCACGAGGCCCCAGAGTCAGGGCGGACGAGGGCGGAGTCAGTCGGATGCCACGGCCTTCAGGGAAGGAGGCAGATGTATGGCGGGGACCTCGGAGCACCCGAGTCACGGACGGACGGACGGACGGACGGAAGGCCCTGCCCCAACATAACCACCTCGTCCTGCATCTCCCACAGAGACGTTCTGGAGCAACCCCCAGTTTAAGATCTGTCTCCCGGAGGAGGACGACCCAGAGGACAACTCTGAGAAGAGCGAGGTGGTCTGTACCTGCCTGGTGGCCCTGATGCAGAAGAACTGGAGACATGGGCGGCAAGAGGGGGCCCAGCTGCTCACCATAGGCTTCGTCATCTTCTCGGTGTGCCTCCGGGGTCCCCAGCCACTGTGCTTCCCCTCTGGCTCCTCCTCCTCCTCCTCCTCCTCCTCCTCCTCCTCCTTTTGCCATGTAGACCAGGCTAGCCTCAAACTCAGAGATCCACCTGCCTCTGCCTCCCCAGTGCTAGGATTGAAGGCATGCGCCACCTCTTAAGACCCTTCTTCCCCAGGACCCCTGTGAGAGTCAGCCCCCAAAGCCACACAGCCCTGCCGCAGGCTCTCTCTCT